GTGGAAGAGGCTTTCGACCAACAAAAGGGATCACAAAGCATAAAACAGCTGACAAACACACCTCTGCGCATATGGCTGATTGTAATCACCCGGGGCACAGAAGACGAAACAGACAAAGATAAAGAAGAAAAAGCGTGCTCAAACAATGCGAACTGGTTCATTGTATTATTGAAAAAGTGTTTTTTACGTGTGTGCATTATATAGATCATGTCACTGTATAATGCGAATTTGGTATGTATATGTGGTTGTGTGGATATATGTATACCGACGGTGTATGCAATAGAGCGAGAGAGGGTACACAAAAACACTGCAAACAAAGAACAGTGTCTAAATGGGAAAAGGAGAAGGCGGGGAAAGGACAGAGTGGATTGAATAGTAACAAGGCCGTTGGAAGGTGACAGGCGCTAGGATAGGTCATATCGAAAACCACCCTTTCTGATTAAATGAGAAGACAGACAAGAACTGTGTGTACGTGGTCTGAGTGGAGTATTGTTTCAACCAGAGGAGATAATGCAATACAAATGGATATGTTTGAGAGTGACGTAAACGAGGCCCCAGTCATGGGTGGAACAGGGAGACGATCCAAGGCGTATCACACCTACCCACATATACATGCTCACACGCCGAGAAATATAACCATCATAGTATCCACCGAAGAACCGTTGTGTAGCAGTGTAATTAGAAGAACATGACAAATGGTTTTGAATAAAGGAGGGCGGGACAGGATAGTTTTTTTGTGGTGTTCGAAGGCAAGAGATAATTCTTTTGGGTATGTCATGTTAACGAACGAAATGAACGCATAACCCGGATGAATCGAGAAAACGTATAGGAGTAAATTCCAATAAACCTGATCAAGAAATATGTGAAGAGAACAAAAAGGAGTGCAAAATACTCCCGTAAAGCACTTTTTCTCAAATTTGAGTAACCAATAGAAAACAAAACAGTAAAGAAAAAGAAATCGCACAAAGAGAAAACGAGAACTAAGGATTACTCCTAATTTTCCTCTAGAAAAGACAAAAAAAGGAGAAACAATCGGGGGAGGAAAAGAGTTCTCGTTCGCATTGAAAACAGGTTGCATAACTCGGAAACAAACCGTTGGAGGGAACGTTTGGAGATGAGATGATAGGGTTAACGCACATGAACCGAAAAAGCCAGATGCAAGATATGATTAATCGAGCATTTGAATGACAAGAATGGGCGGGAGCGGTAAAAAAGAATGGTTTCAGATCACAGTAAGAACCCATACGATGAGGTGACAACATGAGCTGTGTTTCCATGAACGTGGGGTTTGAGAGAGAGAGAGAGAGAAATTATACTGCACGAAAATGAATGAGGAAGAGGATGGTTTTCAAATATTTCGAAACACAAAAATAAGGCACGTGAAAAAGGGCTACACAAAAGAGAGAAACGGAAGGGGGATGAGAGACAGCAAGAGAGTGAGTGAATTCGTGTGGAACAGTAGGTTAGTCCCAAATCAGCTGCTTGTCTCGAATACGACACCATCAACACTCACGGTCTGACCTACAATACAATAAGAGGCAGAAAAAACATCACTGAAGTATGGTAAGAGTGCACGCAAGTGTGTGCCTCCAGTGCTAATCAATCTGAAAACCAAATTAAACTAAACCAAAGGTTAACAAAAAACGTTTCACACAAATGAGGAATTAAATGTTCTCTTCATTGTCAACTAGTTCATTGAAAAAAACCTGATACAGGACCGCGAGAAGTGGTGTACCACACTACGATGCAACCGGGAAGACTTACATGACAAATCCAATTCCGTCTCATCCATTGATTTCAAATGACGATCCGAACAGATGCATAGCTGTTGATTCTCTTTTTGTAGTTGGGCCAGATTCTACATCGACGACAGACAGTGAAAAAGAGACAGGGGAGGTAAATGAGACAATCTAAAAACCCATGACATATGAACGGGGTAAGTCTATGTACAAATTGATATTTTTCGACCGAGACACGCAAATGTCAAAGTCACAAAATGACGCACCCGTTTATATATATATATATATATATATATATATATATATATCAACTTGAGGAGCGTGGTAGGACTGCGTTGAAGGACAATGTAGACGCAAGAACGCAAAACAGTAACGGAGTCAGTGCAGGGGCTGTGGTGACGCAGTGGTTTAGTCACTTTCACCGGTCTGCTTTGAACCCTGTGATCCAAGTTTCGAACCGGACCACGGACAGGCACTCTGGTGGTAGGTAATCTGGTTCAATACGAAGTCAAACCTGGTGGGGTCATATGTGGTTTGCTACTTCAAGTTCCGCGGTTACAGTTGGTGTTTTAAACCACAGAACAGCAGGATTTATGATTATGGGTTCCACTCCGTATGCTGTTCACCACACGAATGTGTGTGATAAAAAGATGTATATTACGCACGTAGATGACAGTATGCAAACCGATTGTCCATCTTACTTCATAGAAGAGCAAAACTGAGATCCAATCTTCTTCGTTCATGGTAGTGCATGCCGTGGAAAGAACAGAACGCGTAGTCCACAGTTGGAACAAGATAGTATGCACACAACCCATGGATTAAGACTGTCACAACAGTGCTTGTCGGATGACGGAAGGAAATCAGCCCATGATACCAAAGAATTACGTTATACGGGCCAGTGACCGAGATTGCTATGTGAAAAATGTTGCGTCTAACGGTTCGCCTACACTCGGATTGTTAACCTGTTTTCGAGCAAGCGTATATAGAAGCTAAGCAACTAGAAGCACATGTAGATTAGGTCTACACACCCGGAGCTGACTGTGGGTTTGAATGTAAGGAAGCTGGAGATCACGAAGGCTTAGGTAAAAGCTCACTTGGTATTCTGTATACTTCAGCTTGCTGCGTAAGACGGATTTAGTGTTGGAATCGACAAGGTCTAAATCCGGATGGTATTCAAGATCGGACGGATGAAAAGCGAATATCTATGATATTTGAGAAGATTGAAAGCACACTTGTGGATATCGAAGATGTTTATGCTATATACCAATGATAGAAAGTAAGTAAAATTCAACCTAGCCATTTGGTTTACTTTCCCTATGTGACGTGGCTGCAG